ATAAATGAATGAGTTTAAGTTTAAAAACTCGAAAAACTCACTTTTTGTGTTTTTAGATAATACACTCTATTTTTTAGTTAGTCTTGAATTCAATTTTTGAAAAAAGTCATACCAAACAAGTTTTTAAGACCTAAAACTTGAAAATTGTTTTTTAGTTTAAAAAGTTGGATTCAAGTAGAGTACCAAAATGGCTCTAAGCTATTTATGACACACCCCGACCCGGAATGTCTACTAGAACTCCGAATCGAGTTGTGCTGGGCGACACCTGGAATGTGACAAAGCCATAAAGTGTGATGATGTGGAAATATAGTGAATAAATTTAAACCTAAGAGCACCTAAATACCAGAGTGCATTGGTGAGCGGGAACGAACCCACTTCATACGTGACTTTAAAGTATAAGCAAGTACAAAAGAGTGAATTAAGAATCGTACCCTCGAAATAATCTCCAATACTAAGAATCACCACGATTCCTCAACGATAAGAAAGCTTAGCTAAGAAGACATGGAGGGTGAAGACAAGATAAATGTGAGTGGCCCAGTAATTAAAATTTTAATAGAAACCATATAAATTTCTATAGCCCCTCGCTACAACACTTGTAAAATTTCCAGAATTAGAATATAAAAATATACATATATATATATATATATATATATATCAATTCAAGTCACGCTTCACATATTTATAATCATATGCTAACTCATCGCATATTCATCACGTCGGCTAGCTCATCACGTATGCACCACATATGTTAGCTCATCACATACATTCATTATATATGCTAGCATTTCATCACATATCCCATCATAAATATATATGCTAGCATTTCATCACATATAGGCTAGCACCTAAGTCGGAGTCACCTCTAGTGACCTATACAACGTATTTATATCTCATCACGTATCTCATCAATCATGGCTAGCATATAAGTCGGAGTCACCTCTAGTGACCTATACGACATATTCGTATGTCATCAATCTCATCAATCATGGCTAGCATATAAGTTAGAGTCACCTGTAGTGACCTATACGACATATTCATATCTCATCACGTATCTCATCAATCATGGCTAGCATATAAGTCGGAGTCACCTCTAGTGACCTGTACGACTGAATCATAGCTTATCAATCATTGCTAGCACATAAGCCGGAGTCACTTCTAGTGACCTATACGGCACTACACTGCACACAAGTCGGAACCACTGAAAAGGTCTGTACGACAAGATTGGGTGTAATATAGTTATGCTCAATGCTACACAAATCAAGATAGCCATGCGATAAATCGCTAGTCACTTACGAGTCGGAACCACCTATGGTGGTCTGTACGACAAGACTGTGCACCTAAATTGGATCCAATGTGAGCATAGGGTGCGGGAGGTGACATTATATACAGGCATATGTCATATCTCTGGCTAAATCACAATCACCCAGGGTGCAGGTTTATGAGCTCTAAATGCATCTAATACAACATGTACGACTCATAGGCAACCTGTACAACAATGTTGGAGTTGCCTACTGTAGCAACCTGTACGACATTGTCGGAGTTGCTAAAAGCGTAAATGTAGTCATATCATAACCCCATCAATTCAAATAATACCGTATATTTACTTGAACTTACCTAAACTTACCTGAACTTACCTGAATGTCCTGCATTCACCTTTGCACTTCAGAGCGTTCACAACACCACAATTATATATATATATATATATATATATATATATATATGCAAACAATTCATTTCATTGTTTAAGCATTATTTAATAGGCATGACATTTTTAGAGCATAAATCATTTAATTGCATTTTCTGGGAAAACATTAAGCGTATACATATATACTTAAAACCAAAAGCCCACACACATTGCTCGATTCCTTAAACAAGGCTATGGTCACAATTATTTAATCTCATTTCTTATATGGTTGCATCTAACATCTCGTTAGACTGCTTACGTACCCTAAACAGGGATCAAGCCATTCTAACGTCTCATTAGACTGCCTACGTACACTAAACAGGGATCAAGCCATTCTTAGTTCACAATAATCATTTATAGTAATACGCATATGGATAGATCACGATGAAATCTAACTCAATCATCTCATAGTATTTTATAACATATAAATATATATATATATATATATATATATGTCATGGCATAAGTTCTCAATTTTATTTAAAAGAATTTATAGAATTATCAATCATGAAACATAAGATGAGTAAGGAAAGATCCACTCACCTCTAGTTCATGCTACAACTTCCTAGCACAACCATCAGGGCGTCCCGAACGATCAGCAACTGTGACTAATTATCAACCACATCTCAGAATCCTCATAAATAGAATACGTAATTCACATAAAACACATCCTCAAGGACATTCTAAAATAGTTTGAGACCCATTGACCATAAGTCAATCGTCGATCAAAGATCGACTGTAGGGTCTACAACCCTGTATAACTTGATCCGAAAGATCCGCATATTAGATTTTCAATCCGCAGCTTCCAAAGATACACATTATACTTCTAGAATAACATACTAAAATTTCATTGCGATCCAACGGTCGGATCTCCGCCAATTGCCCAAAACCAAGTGGCGGTTAACATTTATTTTATAAACTTACACATCCAATTCGGGAAGATCCATACGTCGGATTCCTGATCTCTAAGTTTCTATGGTCCTCAAATATTACATACTATAATGTATTAAATTTTGGTAACGATCCAACGGTTGAATCGTCGATTACTATTCTAATCAAGTGGTGGACCTTAATAGGACTTTGCCTGATTCTGCAGTTTTTGCAGATTTCCTGGGCAATCTTTGGAACTTCATATCTCACTTATTTCTCAACCAAATTCAACCCATAATATACCAAATCGAAGCTAGAGAAATGTAGAACAAGATCATACCAGCTTGGAGTCCAAATGGTGGCCGAAAGTGGCCGGAAAATGGTCTGAAAGACGGCTGTCCGCCGGAAAACTGGTAACTCGCCAAAATTTCTAGGCAACTTTTCAACGTCCATAACTTTGTCAATACTCAACGAAAACAAGTAATTCAAAAATGACATAGTTCTCGACGAGACGAAGAAATTGGTACCTTACACAATGTCTATCTCGCTGTGATTTGACCGGAAAATACCTCGAAAGTGGTTGAGGTGGCCGGAAACTGGACAAACTTTAAATCGTTATAACTTTCTCATTTCTCCACCAACTCACATGATCCAAACATGAAAATTCATCTATACCTGTGACCCAGGCCAAATAGGCTGGGAAAAGCTTCAATTTTGTTAAAACCGGTCGGTAACCCTATACTTCGATGAACTTCAATTCTTCTTCCTCGTGCTCCAACGGGGTCAAGGCTGGTCATGATTTTCTCCTGGGATGATGGGCTACAAAGCCCAAGTGGTGGTGTCGGCCATTGCTTTGACAATTCGTCGGAAAAATGAAAAAGGTGGCCAGAACACCATTGGTTTTCATCGGGTTTTGTGACCTCGAACCGCCACGTACAGGGGTTAACCAAGGTGGTTCTTGGGTGGGTTTTGTAGAGGGGAATGAGAGCTTCAATATGGTGGTGGCGACTTCGAAAAACTCCGTCGGAGTTGACCGGAATCAGCCTTGAAAAATGAGTGGTCGTGAACGAAAAAACCCACAGGAAATCTCCAGCTTTCCCTTTTTTTTTTCTTTTTCTGATTGGCTTAAGGCTTTGTCCTCCTTTTATGTGATTGGTTCCCTTTTCTCTTTGCTTAAAGGATGATTGGTTAGTCTTCCCACAAGGTGGGAGTTCAAATAATTTAACTATCTTTAAATAACCAACTTCAAACGTCCGTAACTATACCGTTATAATTCGGACTTGCAAACGGCTTTCACCTATGTGTTCGTAGTGACGAGTACTACGAGGATATACTAAAAGAATAAGTCGTATGCCACTCTAACCGATGATCCGCGAAAATGGTTATAGTTAAAAAAGGAGTTCAAAAACGGGTAAATGAGTTCAAAAACAGGTAAACGGGTAAATGGTTTTAGTTAAATGGGTAAACGGTTATGATTAAATGGGCACACGGTTATGAGTATGGCTAACCGTTTATAAACGGTTATGGGTATGGGTATAACCGTTTATGCAATTACCCAACGGATAAACGGTTATGCATGTATGCACATAAACAGCTATGGGTAAATAATCGCGGTTACCCACCTGCCACAACCGTTGCCCATCCCTAGTCCAAATAGGCATATATTAAGAAAACCTAACCTTCAAATATGTATGTGTAAGTCATAAGTAATTGAAAGAACTACGTAAGATTGTTAAGGTGACGGTGGAACCCTAATACTTTCACAGTTTAATTTTCAAAAACCGTTTTCTATTAGTTTATTTTATTTTGTTAATTTATTCGATTATTTCTATTAAATTCATTTTTATTAGGGTAAATTACATAAAACTACCTCAATTATTGGGTCATTAACAGTTTCATATCTCGTCTTTCAAAAGTTTCAATGTCATACCTCATCTACGAATTTTTTACAATTTCATACCTTCCGTCAATTTTCTGTCAATTCTTCCGTTAAAATATTAAAAAATATTTAAAATATTAATTAAATATTAAAAATTAAAAAAAATTATTTAATAATTTTTTTAAATGGGGACCCACTCCTCACGCCTTCTTCCTCTTCAGCTCTTCCCGTGTCCCCCCAAGCTTCTTTCACTCCTTCTTCTTTGGTTCTTCCCTTGTTTCCCCCCCCCCCAAGCTTACCACCCCACCGCCACCCTTTCTTCCTCCATCTCCACGCCTACAACTCACCCAAACAGTCCTTTAACTCCATCACCGTCGCCGTCTCTTCCTCATCCTTCAAATTCAACCCCACCATCGCCCCCCCAACCCGCAACTCGCCTACGCCAGCACATTCGGGTCCCGATAAGGCGAAGGAGAACGATTGGGACTAGTTTCTGTAGCGGAAATCAGTAGGGAAGGGAAGGTAGATGAGCCAGGAATCGGACGCCACCGAGGATGACGAATCTAGGGATGGGGGAGAATCGACACCGACGAGGGGGTTGATGCGGGAAAATCGGAGAGGGGAGGTAGAGAGCCAGTGGCGCTTGAGAATAGGGGAGAATGTGATAAAGGGGGCGGTGATGAGAAAGAAGTCGTCGGTACAGAAGAAGGAGGAGGAATAGGGGAAGGTGAGAGAGGGGAGGCAGAACCAGAGGTTGGAGATGGGGTCAAAGGCGAACAACTGGTTGAAGTTGGAGGAGGTATTGTGGGATCTGGATTTGGGGAAGATGGGAGAGAGGCGCGGATGAGGGTGGGATCCAAGTTTGGGGAAGATGGGAAGGAGAAGAAAGGGTGAAGGGGATAAGGGGTGGGTCCCCATTTGAAAAAAATTATTAAATATTTTTACTTTTTACTTTTTAATATTTAATTAATTTTTTAATATTTTAACGGAATAATTGACAAAAAACTGACAAAAAATATGAAATTGTAAAAAATTCATAGATGAGGTATGACATTGAAACTTTTTAAAGACGAAATATGAAACTGTTAATGACCAAATAGTTGAGGTAATTTTATCACTAGTACAAAAAAAGTTTGCACGACGTAGGTCGTTCGTCGCGCAAAGACACTGGGTCACGCAAAGACATTTTGCACAATGCATGTTAGTTCTTCGTCGCATGCCAACTGTCGCACAAATGCAGTGACAGTAGGGTTTGCGCGACGCACGTTACTTCTTCGTCTTGCAAACCCTGCTTTTTTCTTTTTCTTTTTTATTTTTTGACAAATATTTTTTATTTAATTTTTTATAAATATTGTAATTAAATTATAAAAAATAATTAATAAACCAAGAAAAGGTATTTAATTATAAAATATATGAAAATGTACATACAAGATGTCAGAACATACAACAACAACAACAACAAAGCCTTTTCCCTAAGTGGGGTCGGCTATATGAATCATAGAACGCCATTGCGCGCGGTTTTGTGTCATATCCTCCGTTAGATCCAAGTAGTCTAAGTCTTTTCTTAGGGTCTCTTTCAAAGTTTTCCTAGGTCTACCTCTACCCCTTCGGCCCTGAGCCTCTATCCCGTAGTCACATCTTCGAACCGGAGCGTCAGTAGGCCTTCTTTGTACATATCCAAACCCATTTTGTGTACGTGTTGATGCTTCACCGCCCAACATTCTGTGCCATACAGCATCGCCGGCCTTATTGCTGTCCTATAAAATTTTCCCTTGAGCTTTAGTGGCCTACGACGGTCACACAACACGCCGGAAGCACTCTTCCACTTCATCCATCCAGCTTGTATTCTATGGTTGAGATCTCCATCTAATTCTCCGTTCTTTTGCAAGATAGATCCTAGGTAGCAAAAACGGTCGCTCTTTGGTATTTCCTGATCTCCGATCCTCACCCCTAACTCATTGTGGCCTCCATTTGCAATGAACTTGCACTCCATATATTCTGTCTTTGATCGGCTTAGGCGAAAATATTTAGATTCCAACACTTCTCTCCAAAAGTTAAGCTTCGCATTTACCCCTCATGAGTTTCATCTATCAACACTATATCGTGTGCGAAAAGCATACACCAAGGAATATCATCTTGAATATGTCCTGTTAACTCATCCATTACCAACGCAAAAAGGTAAGGACTTAAGGATTGTTGATGGACAAAATCAGTGAGGACTTTGGTACAGCAGAAAGTATTAAGTTTGTGATATTCGCTAGATTGCTCTGGTTATTAGTGTGGATAAGTATGTAAATGGATAGAGACAGGAAAGCAAACACAAGATGTACGTGGTTCACCCAGATTGGCTACGTCCACGGAGTAGAGGAGTTCTCATTAATTGTGAAGGGTTTACGCAAGTACATAGGTTCAAGCTCTCCTTTAGTGAGTACAAGTGAATGATTTAGTACAAATGACATAAGTGCAAGCTCTCGTCTTCACTTCCCTTAACTGTCTCATAGGTAAATGTGGCATCTTCTCTAGAAGTACGCTTCCTCCATCCAGGGGTGATATCTTTAACTGGTGGAGATGCACAAGGTAATGTATCAATTTCACTTGAAGCTTACTTGTAGTTTCAAGCTTGGTCAAGCGCGATACAAACCATGTAGTAGGAGTCCCCCAAGTCGCCGAGCTAGGGGATCTGCTGAAAGAGGTGACAGACAAGGTAAGCAATCAGAGCTCCAAGCAATCAGTCCCAGATCAGAAGTTTGATTTCGAGTTCCGACTGATTGTTCTCATTCTCCCTATCTTGCAGGCAGCATGAAGGATAAAGAGAAGAAAAGGAGAATAGATGATATGAGATACTTTTGCTTTTGAAGAAGTAACTTTCCACAGGCTTATTCTTGAACTGGGCTGGAGGATTTTCTGATTTCCTCCAGAGTATAAGGTCGAATGAAGAATTTGAGGGTCAAAACACGTCCATCAAATCTAGAGTACGTTCGACCCTGCTGATATGAGATACTTTTGCTGTTGACAAAGTAGTGGATGTATCGGCACGTGTTCTGTTACGCTTGTCTCCACATGCTTCCTTGTATCTTTCCCACTTTCCTTATATGTTCCTTAGGCAGATGTGGTATCTTCTCTGGAAGCATAAGATGTTGAAGATGGGTACTCGAAAGCAATGTCAGGTAAGTAATCAGGTAAGGGGTTCCAGGCAGTCAGTTCTTGACTGGAAGCTTGATTCCAAGTGCTGACTGATTGCTCTCTTTCTCCTTGTCTTGCAGGTAAAAACAAGGCCAAAGGAAAAGACAGGGAAAAAGCATGCAATGGGATACTCTTGCTTTTAACCCTGATGATATGAGATATTCTTGCTCTGGTGTAGCTTGTTTGCAAAGGTATTATCGGGAGGAAAGAAAGCTGAGTATTTCGAGAGGCTTCGTTGGGAGTGCCCTCTCAGATATGAGGAAAGGTTGAGCATTTTTGCAGGTCTGCCAGTCCGTTGAGGATGGAGGTCGACATATATAAGAGTTTTCCTAACAACAAGTAGTAACGATATTCCTTTACCCTGCTTGGTCATAGCACTGTAGTGGGAGCTGCCAGCTTCACGTGTGTTAGAGCATTTTGAAAAAGTGGTCTGTGGTATCTGGAAAGCTGATGTTGCGTGTGAAGATTACAGACAAGCTTTATCCAAGGAGATCTGGCTCTCGAAGTTGAGAAAGCGGTGCCTCTTCGGTTTTCGTACAAGCAATCCTGTCGGGGATCTGGCTTTTGAGATTCGGAAAACGATGCCTCTTCGATTTTTGAGAGAGCAATCCTGCTGGGAGTCTAGCTCTCAAGATTCGGAGAGCGGTGTCTCTTCGATTTTTGAGAAAGTAATCATGTTGGGAGTCTGGCTCTCGAGATTCGGAGGGCGGTGCCTCTTCGATTTTGGAGCAAGCAATCTTATTGGGAGTGTTTTCGCGAATGTAAGTAAAGGTTGGGCATGTTTGCTAGTCTACCTTGCCACAAAGCATAAAGGTTGACACACAAAGACTTTCCAATTATCCAGCAGCGATGTTGTTCCTTTATCTTTGTAGGTAATAATATGGTAGCTAGACCTTCAAAATTTATGTGTCTAAACTTTGTTAGTGTTGTTTGCTATTCTTTTACCCTTCTTGGTCATAGCGATGTAGTGGGAGCTGCAAGCTTCACGTGTCTAAACTTTGTCAGAGATCTTTGGCAAAGCTATATGTGGTACCCATGAGCTGATGGTGCGTGTGGAAAGTGGATGATTGAACAGTAAGATTCACGTGCTTTCTACTTCACCAGAAATCTTCAACAGAATGCCCGTAGTTTCAGCAAAGCTGAGTGTGCATGTGACAGATGCTGACAAGGCTGAAAAAAGCAAGTGCCTCTTCGATTTCTAAGATCGGCCCTCTTGGTCTCTGAGCAGCCCAGCTTTTGAGAAAGCAAGCGCCTCTTCGATTTCTGAGATCGATCTTCGTGGTCTTTGAGCAACCCAGCTTTTGAGAAATGCCTCTTCAATTTCTGAGATCGGCCCTCGTGGTCTCTAAGCAGCCCAGCTTTTGAGAAAGCAAACGCCTCTTCGATTTCTGGGCAGGCGCCTCTTCGATTTCTACAGCTCCGTCGAGTGCAAATTTTTATAGAGGCTGGCATTAAGTTCCAAAGCACACTTGAATCTTCACCAGTAGAAGCTCCCTTCTTGCACTTCTAAGATCTTAATTTGTCCGACCTCTTCTCTCTTCAACACCTTTGAAAATGTCTGGCTCCTCCGACCGTCGTTTTGACTTGAACCTCGTTGAAGAGGCAGCCACGCCTTCTCCAGACAACATATGGCGCCCATCATTCTTATCCCCTACTGGTCCGCTTACCGTTGGGGATTCCGTGATGAAGAATGATATGACTGCTGCGGTGGTGGCCAGGAACCTTCTCACTCCCAAAGATAACAGACTACTTTCCAAACGGTCTGATGAGTTGGCTGTTAAGGATTCTCTGGCTCTAAGTGTTCAGTGTGCAGGTTCTGTGTCTAATATGGCCCAGCGCCTATTTGCTCGAACCCGCCAAGTTGAATCATTGACGGCTGAAGTGATGAGTTTCAAACAGGAGATTAAAGGGCTCAAGCATGAGAATAAACAGTTGCACCGGCTCGCACACGACTATGCTACAAACATGAAGAGGAAGCTTGACCAGATGAAGGAATCTAATGGTCATGTTTTACTTGATCATCAGCGGTTTGTGGGTTTGTTCCAAAGGCATTTATTGCCTTCGTCTTCTGGGGCTGTACCGCGTAATGAAGCTCCAAATGATCAACCTTCGATGCCTCCTCCTTCTAGGGTTATGTCCAGTACTGAGGCTCCGAATGATCCCCCTCCGGTGCCTTCTCTTTCTGGGGCTCTACCGACTGCTGAGACTTCTCATAAGTAACCTTTGTGAAGGCTCCCTCTTGTTTGTTTATTTTGACTCATGTATATGTACATATTTGTAACTTATCGGAGATATCAATAAATAAGTTTTGCTTCATTTCAACGTATTGTGTTAAATACACCAAAGCCTTCTTCACTGAGTGGGGTCGGCTATATGAATCTTAGAACGCCATTGTGCTCGGTCCTATGTCATGTCCTCCGTTAGATCCAAATAAACAGTTGCACCGGCTCGCACACGACTATGCTACAAACATGAAGATGAAGCTTGACCAGATGAAGGAATCTAATGGTCAGGTTTTACTTGATCATCAGCGATTTGTGGGTTTGTTCCAAAGGCATTTATTGCCTTCGTCTTCTGGGGCTGTACCGCGTAATGAAGCTCCAAATAATCAACCTTCGATGCCTCCTCCTTCTAGGGTTATGTCCAGTACTGAGGCTCCGAATGATCCCCCTCCGGTGCCTTCTCTTTCTGGGGCTCTACCGACTGCTGAGACTTCTCCTAAGCAACCTTTGTGAAGGCTCTCTCTTGTTTGTTTATTTTGACTCATGTATATGTACATATTTGTAACTTATCGGAGATATCAATAAATAAGCTTTGCTTCATTTCAACGTATTGTGTTAAATACACCAAAGCCTTCTTCACTGAGTAGGGTCGGCTATATGAATCTTAGAACGCCATTGTGCTCGGTCCTGTGTCATGTCCTCCGTTAGATCCAAATAAACAGTTGCACCGGCTCGCACACGACTATGCTACAAACATGAAAAGGAAGCTTGACCAGATGAAGGAATATAATGGTCAAGTTTTACTTGATCATCAGCGGTTTGTGGGTTTGTTCCAAAGGCATTTATTGCTTTCGTCTTCTGGGGCTGTACCGCGTAATGAAGTTCCAAATGATCAACCTTCGATGCCTCCTCCTTCTAGGGTTATGTCCAGTACTGAGGCTCCGAATGATCCCCTTCCGGTGCCTTCTCTTTCTGGGACTCTACCGACTGCTGAGACTTCTCCTAAGCAACCTTTGTGAAGGCTCCCTCTTGTTTGTTTATTTTGACTCATGTATATGTACATATTTGTAACTTATCAGAGATATCAATAAATAAGCTTTGCTTCATTTCAACATATTGTGTTAAATACACCAAAACCTTCTTCACTGAGTGGGGTCGGCTATATGAATCTTAGAACGCCATTGTGCTCGGTCCTGTGTCATGTCCTCCGTTAGATCCAAATACTCTAAGTCTTTTCTTAGAGTCTCTTCCAAAGTTTTCCTAGGTCTTCCTCTACCCCTCCGACCCTGAACCTCTGTCCCGTAGTCGCATTTTCTAACCGGAGCGTCAGTAGGCCTTCTTTGCACATGTCCAAACCATCGTAACCGATTTTCTCTCAATTTTCCTACAATTTTGGCTACTCCTACTTTACCTCGGATATCCTCATTCCTAATTTTATCCTTTCTCGTGTGCCCACACATCCAACGAAGCATCCTCATCTCCGCTACACCCATTTTGTGTACGTGTTGATGCTTCACCGCCCAACATTCTGTGCCATACAGCATCGCCGGCCTTATTATCGTCCTATAAAATTTTCCCTTGAGCTTTAGTGGCATACGGCGGTCACACAACACGCCGGATGCACTCTTCCACTTCATCTATCCAGCTTGTATTATATGGTTGAGATCTCCATCTAATTCTCCGTTCTTTTGCAAGATAGATCTTAAGTAGCGAAAACAATCGCTCTTTGGTATTTCCTGATCTCCGATCCTCACCCCTAACTCATTTTGGCTTTCTTTCTGCAGCCTCAAGTTTTTGGCTTTCTTTCTGTTTTCCATATATTTGACATGTTTCAACATATGTAAACTTTAAGTCAGCATGAGCACGTGCTTCAGGAGATAATTCAAACGCTCGAGTATCAGTTGCGTCATTACTGGAAATTGCACCCTCTACATCTGATCCTTCTAACAGATAAAGAAATGGATCAAGCAGCAGGACAAAATACGAAAAATGAAACAGAAGTCTGAAGCATACGAGCTTTCGTATAATACATCATTCCACGAACTGCAGATCACAGAACTTAGATATTTAGCGGCAAACCCATGAATATATAAAATATATTAGGAAGTATAATAAATATATAAAATAAACAATGAAAGAAAAATAATGAATTAAAATCTAACTCACAATAAAAATGTATCTGCGAGAGGGAGGGAAAGAAGGAGAGCGAAAGGGAGGGAGGGAGAGAAGGGAGGGGGGGAGAGAAACAGGGAAAGGAAGAAACACAATAACCGAAGAGTCTAAAGACAAAGCTGGCCAGGATGACTCTTTCAGTAATTCAACCTCTTGTAAATCTAACAATAAACTCTAAAATATCACCTGAGCAGACTGTGACAAGAAGAAACTATTAATCCCAACTTAGGATACTTAATTGTGCACATAAGCACATCAACTACATCATAAAGCACAAAGAAACAAGAATAAGATCCTAATTAAAGGAATCAAAAAACTACCTGGATAAATTTTTTGAAGGTAAAATAATATTGGCATTCCCCCTTGTTGCACAATATCATAAAGATCTTGAACAGCCTTAAATGCACCTTTCTCCTGTTCGGGTGTTCCCCCTTGTTTTTGTGCATTATATAAACGAAGCAGTATATTTGAGTAAAAAGAAATCAATATACCAAAATAAAGCACAAACAAATAACTATATGACAATATCAATTTTTATGTAACTAGAAGAAAAGAAAGCTCAGAAAGATAATTTAAATTGTAGAGAGCTACCTTCCCAAACGTTACACAACTATCACTCGCCCAAACAAAGAGGACAAAACCCTGTTCAAGATTCCCATCGAAGGTATTTCATACTTTCAGACCAAAAGTCTCAACCCATTTGAAGAAGAAAACCCTCCACCCCATTTCCCTTTTATGTTCCTAAATGCAAAGGTTAGGTATAACAATTAAATGAATTGTCATATGCACAGTTTGTAGAGTTTGTAGAACTCTTGCAAGTTAGCAATGTCCTGGCTTCTATCTATGATTACAAAACATAAGCACATAAATTCTTTTTGATAAAGAGATGATAAGTACATATATAAGGGTTATGAAAAGTAAATACAAATCTAACAGCTTCAAACTTAAGCCCGCACCTCCCCCCCCCCCCCAAAAAAAAAATTTCTTCCTTCATACGAAAATATACCTTAATGACAGACATCAATCCAGTCTTAAACTGTAATACTCCCCTTCCTTCACTATTGGGATCCAGACTCTGAGCCAGAGATTAAGCATGCTCGCATACTGCAGGGTGACAATCAGCACTTTCAAAATTGTGAGTTGCAAACATAGAATTTAATTATTTTGCAATATATACAAGTTTTTCACCACCAAATTACAGCAACAACTGAGTTTAGATGATTCCCCATATTCAAATATTTTTTAAGCTAAACGAACCAGAACAGAACTACCTTCAGCCAATCTGGTCTGACAAAATGAGGGGCACTATTTCGAGGTTTAAGCTTTTTTTTTTTTTTTTTCATGTAGATCTTGTTTCCTTTTGTGTAAGAAATTCCAAGTGAGCTGTTTGAGCATCTTTCTAAAGGCAGTTATGCACTTCAGGAATGGCCTCCTAGTGTAATTCACCACGACAGAGGAAAATGTACAAGGTGGGTTGCTTTGCTTCTCATCAACTCAAACGATCATACTTTCGACCCAAAGAAAAGAACCAAGTACTCAACCCACCCCCCCCCCCCCCAGCTACCAAATTATCCTCGCTGATTCTTATGTCACATTTAGGAAAACAAACTTAATTTCCACAACCCAAGCAAGGTACAAAACTATAATTCAAAATTGGAAGTAAAAAGTACAAAAAAGAAGTGGGTAACATACAAATTCTGGAAATATTGGGATCTTCGTCTTGGATTTTATCAGCAACTCTCAGAATTTCATCAATATCCCTATTGTTTGCAAGTGAGGAAGGAACATTTCCAACAATTCCAGTAGCATGCCGGCCATACGCATCAGCCCCCATCGTCTCCCTGCTCAATACGACACGGACTAGATGCTCCCATCGCTGCTCAACTCGAGACATTTTCTGCAAAACAGCGAGTAAAATCTCGAGAAAATTCCAATACGGCACGGACTAGATGCCCCGATCCTTTGTGCTGCTGCCTGCTGCTGGGTGCAGTCAGGAGGGATGGAAAGAAGATGAAGAGGAAGGCTACGGGTGCGGATGAGGAGAGGATGAGGAGGAAGCTGGCTGTGTGCAGTCGGGAGGAAGGCTACGCGACACGGGGTGAGAGATGGCGAGAGGGAAGGGAGACCGGCTGTCCAATTTTGTCCAAAATTGGGAAAATTTTAACAAAGCACCTATTTTTTTCCGCCAAAATTTTAACAAGTTGGGCGACGCACCAGTTAACGTGTCGTGCAAGTTATTTTCTTTTAAAAAAAATTATTATAAAATTTACTTATGTGACTTTACTCATTTCAAATTTATTTTTTATACATAAAACCTATAATAATATATTTTTTTAACAAAAACCTAATCCGAACCACAATAATAAATTTAAAGCTAATTAATAAATAAATATATATATATAATTCAATTTCTTAAGTTTTATACGTACAAAATAAATAAATTTAAAGCTACTTATTAAATATATATATATATATCATTCAACTTGCTCGGATACGTATTTTAAGAAACCACTTTCAATGATCCAACTGTTAAACTTGTTTGCATATACTTTAAGATCGCATACGCAAAAAATCGCAAAAAAAAAAAAAACCATTCAGAGATCAAATAGCGGAACATAACTTTTCAACGGTTATAAACAAAAAATCAAGATTTAACGGTTATTTTAACTCCGATTTTCATGATTTTTTACAGCTACACTCCTTAACCATATATGAATAATTCGATCTTCAATTTAAAATATTTACACTATTGGATACCACAAAAGCTTATGTTATACTTAATGAAAGTATAAATAAACTTCAAGTGTTAGTGAATATATTGTTTTGATACGATACGCATTCTACGAAACTAGTTTCAACGATCCAACCATCAAACTTGTTTGTATATACTTCGAGATCGCATAAGAAAAACATCACAAAAAAAAAAAACATTCAGAAATCAAGTAACGGGACAAAACTTTTCGTCGGTTATAAACGAAAAATCATGATTTAATGATTATTTTAACTCCAATTTTGATGATTTTTTACAACTACACTCCTTGATCCTATAAGAATATAATGAACTAATTTGATCTTCAATTTAAAATATTTACACAAGTGGATACCACAAAATCTTATGTTATACTTAATGAAAGTATAAATAAACTCTGAAGTGTTAGTGAATCTATTGTTTTGATGGGATACGGATTCTAAGAAACTAGTTTCAACAATCCAACCATCAAACATATTTTTATATACTTCGAGATCGCATAAGCCAAAAATCGCAAAAAATAAGCATTCAGAGATCAAGTAACGGGATATACCTTTTTTATGGTTATAAATGAAAAATCACGATTTAACGGTTATTTTAACTTTGATTTTGATGATTTTTTACAGCTACATTCCTTGACCCTATATGAATACAATGAATGAATTCGATCTTCAATTTAAAATATTTACACTAGTGGATACCATAAAATCTTTATGTTATACTTAATGAAAGTATAAATAAACTCTTAGTGTTAGTGAATCTATTGTTTTGATGGGATACGCATTCTACGAAACTAGTTTCAACGATCCAACCATCAAACTTGTTTGTATATGCTTCGAGATCACATACACCAAAAATCGTAAAAAACAAACATTAAGATATCAAGTAACGGGACAAACCTTTTCGACGGTTATAAACTAAAAATTACCATTTAACGGTAGTTTTAATTCCGATTTGGATGATTTTTTACAGCTACACTTCTTGATCCTATATGACTACAATGAACTAATTCGATCATTAATTTAAAATATTTACACTAGTGGATATCACAAAATCTTATGTTATAGGTAATGAAAGTATAAACAAACTCAAAGTATTAGTGAATCCATTGTTTTGATGGGATATGCATTGTACGAAACTAGTTTCAACGATCCAACCGTCAAACTTAGTTGTATATGTTTTGAGATCACATATGCCAAAAATCCAAAAAAAGAAAAAACATTCAGATATCAAGTAACGGGACAAAACTTTTCAACGGCGATAAACAAAAAATCACGATTTAACGGTTATTTTAACTCCCATTTTGATGATTTTTTACAGCTACACTCCTTAACCCTATATGAATACAATGAACTAATTCGATCGTCAATTTAAAACATTTACACAAGTGGATACCACAAAAGAAAAAGGCAATGCAAGAACCTCAAAAGAAAAGCAAAAAATAAAAAATAAAAAATAAAAAAAAATTTGCGCGACGAAGACCTAGGTCGTCGCGCAAAGTGTGTTTTTTTTTCCCCTTTTTCTTATAGACTAATTCGATCATCGATTTAAAACATTTACACAAGTGGATACCACAAAATCTTATGTTATACTTAATGAAAGTATAAATAAACTCCAAGTGTTAGTGAATCTATTGTTTTGATGGGATACGCATTGTATAAAACTAGTTTAGACGATCTAAACATCAAACTTGTTTGTACATAATTTGAGATCGCATATGCAGAAAATCGCAACAAACAAACATTCAGAGATGAAGTAACATGATAAAATGTATCGACGGTTATAAACGAAAAATCACGATTTAACGGTAGTTTTAACTCTGATTGTGATGATTTTTTACAGTTACACTCATAGAGCCTATATGAATACGATGAACTAATTTGATCGTCAATTTAAAATATTACACTATTGGATATCACAAAAATTTATGTTATACTTAATGAAAGTATAGATAAACTCCAAGGGTTAGTGAATCTATTGTTTTGATGCGATACCCATTCTACAAAACTAGTTGAAAAAATCCAACCGTCAAATATGTTTGTATATGCTTAAAGATTGCATACGCCAAAAATTACAAAAAACAAACATTCAAAGATTATGTAACGGGACAAACCTTTTTGACGGTTATAAACGAAAAATCACGATTTAACAGTTATTTTAACTCTGATTTTGATGAATTTTTACAGCTACACTAACACCCCGACCTAAAATTAAGGTGTGCTGGCCATCACGTGAGGATGATGTAGCCATGTGCATAGTGCGGAAGCAATAAGGATATGAAATATACGAAAAAATAAGAACCGAAACCTAATTAATGTGCTATAATAAGCAGAAAGTGCTAGGAATGAGATACAAGTGTAAATACACCTAATCAGAGCATAGAAGTCTAAGTGCAGTCTAGTAGGACAATTACTAGTTACACAGTACCAGGAGAAGTCTTACGAATATTATACTTTGTTAGAACCTCAAAGATCCACTAATGTCACCAACAGCAAGTCTACCTAAAACCTGGAGAGGCGCAAAACAGAAAGTGTGAGTGGGCAAAAACAAAGCTTTTCAAAATCGTTTCATTTATCAAATGCTCTAACCCCTCGCCGTAAAACATGTATAATTTTCCCAGAAATGGAATATATATATCAAATCATGCTTCACATATCCAAAATCATAAGTATGCAATGCCAAAATATAAAACAGAATAAGTAACTCAGGTGAAAATAAATTCATGGAAAATAACATATTAGCCAAAACCCCTGCAAAAGTCTGTACGGTTGAATTCATAGTTCATTAATCAATCTAGTCGGAGTCACTACAAGTGACCTATACGGCACTACACTGCACACGAGTCAGAACCACTGTAAGGGTCTGTACGACAATACTGGGTGTAATATAGTTATGCTCAATGCTATGCTCTTAAGATAGCTGTGCGATAAATCGCTAGTCACCTACGAGTTGGAACCACCTATGATGGTCTGTACGACAAGATTGTGCACCTAAATTGGATCCAATGTAAGCATAGGATGCGGGATGTAAGATTATAAACATGCATGTACCATATCTCTGACTAAATCACAATTACCTGGGGTGCAGGTTTATGAGCTCTATGCTTCTCAATTAATCACAACCGTTATTCAAATTCACAATTCATAAACTCAACTGGGCTTACCTGAGCGTCCACAACACTACAATTATATATTATGCATTATATACTAATTCATATGCTGCATATAAATTTATATGCATGCAATTTCAAAGCATACTTTCATTTAAACACATTTTTGGGAAAATATCAAGTATATAAGTATATACTGAAAACCAAAAGCCCACTGACTGGTATGGCGAAAGGTCGTAGCCCCCGAGTCATCCTTGACTGCGCTCATCCTTGGGATAAGTCTCCCCTATGTGTGAAACAACTATAAAAACGTTAATTTAAAGCACATAACCAATACTAGCTAATAACTTTTAATACATTGCTCAAATGGGGTGTTTAAATATACCAATGTGATCTACACAACCTCACGAACATCCCCATATTTTTAGAAAAAATTTTCGACATCCCACGCGCCGGTAAGTGCACGACAACACGCGGGCAATGCGCAGGGAAGCCTAACGGAATCCCTAATTGCCATTAGGAATATTCCATCCAAATTACTTGACGCTGTTACCCTCCGTTAAGAATATTCCGTCAACTTTGACGGAATATTCTTCTTTCTTCTCCGGTGAATCTCACCGGTCGTCGCCGTCGCTGGAAAACTGGAAAATGCAAAAACCTTCATATCTCGTTCAATTCTCAACCAAATTCCATGAAACTTGAACCATATTGAAGCTTAGGACAAATAGAACACAATCATACCAATTTCAAGCTCCAAAAATCATGGAATCTCGCGCGGAGAAAGAATGATAGTTTCGGCCAAATTTCAAACTTGCCAAACTCGACTTCCTGACGTCCAAAACACCTCGTTTTTCTTCTCTGAGCTTCGTGAAGACGTTCTAAAGCTTCCTAGAGGCTTAAAATCTTTTGAAAACTTCACATTTACGTGTGCATGAACAATACCTCAAATCTGGGTTCTAGGGTTCTCGGGAAATCGAGGGTTTCACGTCCAAAGAAAGGTATGGATGGGTTCGTGACGATGAAATGAAGATGATGATGGTGTCTACAAGCTCGATTTGTGAGTAAATGGGTTGGTTTGAAGAGTATGATTGTACGGCTAATGAAGAAAATCTGAGAGGGAGGAAAGAGAGTACACGGGAGAGAGAGAATATGTGTCTGTGTGTGGTCCACAGGGGTCACCAACCAAAACCAAAGAAAAATTTCATCTAAGTCCTAATTGGTTCCAAATTAATAGGACTTAGCACTAATTGGTCCAAAATCTAACCTATCACACCACCACACAAAACGTCCAAGGGTATATAAGTAATTT